ATGAATATTCCAGCCAATCTCTGTTTTTGAAACCATGAGCTGCAAAATGAGCGCCTTACCCCACTGTACAGGCGAGTTGGGTACTTTTTAAAATATACCTGGGCAGGCTCTGTTTCGCCGAGGTCTTCTGGCACTTGCGGGCCGCCGAGGGCTGGCGGTGTTTGGGGCAACGAAGACGGCTGCGGCTGCTCCGCCTCTGTGGGCGAGGCGGGCAAAGCTGGCGAGTCGGGCGGGAGGACGTTAGTGTCCACGACAGTGGCCGCGGGTAACGTAATGTCCCCATGATCTGAACTGTTATTACCTGCAGTAGATGCAGTGTTGCTGGCGATAAGAGCTGGTTGTTTTAACCATTTTCTGATGTCCATCATTGACTATATTCTTCTTTTTATTGTTATTATTTCTACAATTATTATTATTGTTATTACATATGTAATATCTTTTCACTTTAGATGTATTTTATTTTTTTCACTTTTCATTTATTTATTTTTTTACTTTTCGTTTTTCAAATGAGGGTGCATAACGACTCAACTGAGGGTGCAATGCACCCTTATGCACTGAATGTGTCATACCCACCTAATGGGAGGAAACTCAGCTAACTGACGATACGAACCATTTTTACCAAAACAAAACACAACACTTACCCTCGATTCTATTGGCTCTAACGGTTAAAAAGAGGTGTCAATCATCAAAATCGACCGACGGGGGCCAGAGATAGGGCAAATCCAGCAAAAATGACCCCAGAAGTGGGTTTCTTTTGCTAAACCTCTCTAAGAAGGTCAAATGTCACTTGTTTTGCATTTGCAAGTTATAGTCATTTGTTCTGGGAATGTCATTTTCGAGCCTGATACCTGGAAAACAGGCTTGGGGCTTAAGAGGTTTTAAAGGCCCCGATTAGGCTTTCTTTGGTTTTCCCTATCATGTAGTGTGTTATCTATGTAAATGCTGAAATCCCATAGTTCACCCCAGAGGAAGTTTATCTCTGTTTACAGCTGTAACAGAGTGACATCACTATGTAGCACTGATGCGTGCTACATAGTGATGTCACTCTGTCTATCACTATCCAGTAGAATCTACTGGATAGTGCTTCAACATATTGTACGTAACTCAAAGCTGTTGACCACACACTGGGCTCTGGTTTCAAACAGAGGTGCTGCAGCACAGACATTATGAGAAAAATAAAGAGCTTTTTGAACATTAAAGCGTGGAAACATGTCACAGTAGAGGCACAGAACACAAATATGAAACCTGAAAATGACCATAATATTTCCCCCTTATAGAAAATACTAATATGAACCTGACAATTGAGCCTAACAGAGCCCCTTCAGGAGCCCCTACAGACAGAAGCCTGCAGTGTCTTGTATTTGAGTCTCAGCTGCAGACTGTCAGGTCAGCTGTTGCTGAAATAAAGAGATGACTTTGAATAACTTGCTCTGTCACAAAGAGACCAACTTGAGGAATCATTTCTATAACTAGTGGCTTTGTGACAGTGTTGATTTTGGTTCTGCTCAAATATTCACAGCCTGTTTGATATTATGGTGCGATGATGAGGTATGGATCTAATCAGTGAGTGTGTGGAGCCTCGAAAAATGCCGCTGAAAAAAAACTGCGCCATCTGACAGCAGTTCCTCTTTGTGCCAGAGTGCTGTCGACAGACTCATAAGTGGCGCATAATGCTAATTAACACGCCAATTAGACATCTGCTGTGTTTCCAAGGATGTCTTGAGAATAATGTGTTTACGATTAAGAGGAGGGCTCAAATGAGCAGAAAGGCCACACATCATCCCCTTAATGGCCAACGTTCAACGGCTCGTCCCAGGCGCTGTGATTGTTTTGTAAGTGGAGGCCCGGGGAGCTTGTCATATCTGATTAGATGGAGGGCGATGCAGGGGCCAAATGATCTGGATGGAGCAGCAAGCACCAGGAGTGACACGTTACCACTGGGTGTCACCACTGATCACATCATATCATCGCTCCCCTTCACCCCTGACAACTCAATCAATGGCCTAATTGACTGGGACTGGGTCTGCTGTCACAACAGGATCCAACACTCAGAGAATGGATCCAGCTCCTGTCTGATTCTAGGATTTAAAAATGGTTCACATTCCTGCCCACTGCAAGAACTCTATATCAGAATCAGAATACCTTTATTGGTCCCACAGAGGCAAGGCAAGGCACGCTTATTAATATAACATATTTCAATACAAGGCAATTCAAAGTGCTTTACAAAAATGAAAGACATTAAGAGCATTAAGAAACATATTATGAAATGACATTTAAAAACACTCATTTAAAAGGGGGGCTATTTACGTTGGTACAGCAGAAAAGAGCCAAAGGGAGTTTAATGTTACCTGAGCAGCATGCATACAAAAATAATATTAAAGATTAAAACAAATTACAATGTAAAAAAGTTACACAATTTACAACAACAAAAAAATCACCACTGGCTGGCAGAGTACTTAGTATATCTGCTCCACAGCTTCTCAACTGCACATTTTACATTTCTGTTAAATCTAATATGTAATATTCCATTCCTCACATACTTATGTATATATAATATCCTGCTATATATTGTGTTACGGTAAATTTGTAATTCAACATGTATATGTTCTACTTTTTTTAATGCTATTTTATTTCTATTGAGATGTTGACATTTCGGAATGCTTATTTGTAGTCTTTTAATTGTTATTGTACAATGCCATGTCCTTTATATATATATTTTATTCAGTACAAAATATACAATTACAGAATAAGAAAGGGACAGAAACATAATGCTCACTTTCAGTTTTCTATTTTAAACATCCCCCAATGCCTTGTCTTTTTATGCTGCAATGCAAACACTTCCCAAATTGGGATCAATAAAGTGCTTCTTATCTTATCTTATAGCTCAGAGGAAAAGTGTGGTTTGAAAGGAAACTCTTCTTTCTGCTACTAGTTTAACCCATGTTTAACCACAAGATGGCGGAGTTGGACTATACAAAAAAGTAAAGCTCTTTAGTTTCCTGCTGTGTGTTTTTCTGCCTTTGTTTATCTCACATCATAAAGTTGTTAGTGTTCTCTATCAATCTGTGCCGGCTGTTGATGGTAATTTAGAGCCTGTAGGTGTAGATCAATAGTTATGAAAACATGCCGGAAGAAAAGCAGGTGAGGTTTTTTCTGCAGTTTTCTCTTGTGGAGTAATCTCATAAAAAATCACCAGGATTAAATAACAGAGGCTGACCTGAAACTACACGAGTAAAGTTATTTTATTCAACTTTAATTTCCAAGTACACGGTACACATGTTACAGATCTAGGGGTAATCTTAGACCTAATTTTTCCGCAGGCAGTATGAGAAAAATAAAGACTTTTTTGAACATTAAAGCATCTAAACATGTCACAGTAGAGGAACAAAGTACAAATATGAACCTGCAAATTAGGAGAATATGGACCCATTTAGGAGGCATGTTATCATTGTTCATGTATTATTGTATTGTGATCAAAATCTTTGTTTTATTTTTGTAACTATCTAACTTTCACGTTTTTCATTGTTGTATTTTTCTGCATCTCATCCTGTGCTGTTAAGCCCCTGTCACACTGTCCCGAAATTGTAACCCGATGGACACACGAATATGACTGCGGTCAAGCCAGCCTCCACTCGGAAAAACCTAGTCAAGCCAGCCCTCAGGTGATATTGCGGTGCGCGAATATCCTATGCATTACGGTAGAGTCAAGAAAAATCATCCCTCTGTGTTTATATGAGAATAATCACTTCAGAGTGATAGCAGGACATCCCATATAGTCACTCAGAAAAAATCAGGACATTCTGATGTAGAGTTTTAAAATAAAATACCTTTGAAATCTCTATTGTATGAGTTATCATCCCTGTTTTTAGATGAGAATAAAACAAAAACTGTCCAGTATCATAGATCCATCTCACTCCAGGGTAGCAGGACACCCCATGTAGTCACTCAGAAAAAATCAGGACATTCTGATGTACAGTTTCAAAATAAAAGACCTTTGAAGTCTCATATATGAGCTATATCAGTCTATACGGCGCTGATGGCCACGAACCACACACGAAGGCAACATTTACATTACATGTAAGACATACAACTGCAACGAAAGTAGCAAAAACAATTATGTTAAAGTACTATGATGCTGTACTGATATTTTCAGACTTTGTTCTTTACTTTATCCGTCATGTTGTTTCCATAGCAACAACAACTTCCTGTCAACTCGCCTTCAAAATAATATGTTATTGTAGTGCCGTGAAAAGGGAGTCGGAGGCGGTGTATTCAGAATTGAGTTCCAATTTTTATTAGCCATTAACAACAGAGAGGTTAACACATGGACGACGCTGCACGATAGTAGCGGAGGTACGTTCGCGCGCGAGGGAGTTCCGGCCGGAATGCCTGCCCATTGACCCAGCTGTTGCGACGGGACCCGGGAACCACTACGAGGCAGGACTCCTGGCGTTGGATTCCGTCCGTAGTACGGGGGTCACAAGATGTCGCCCTCTACCAGATGCCGAAGTCGGTGACTCTCAAGGCAGCCCTAAAGGAGGGTTTACGTAGTCGGGGCTTAGACGGGTGCCGGGCGCTCCAAAAAGACGCTCCTGCGTCGCCTCCGGAAGAGCGTAGGTCAGGCTACGACGTCGTGCCAGCGGCCACCGAGAGTTCAAGGACGCCTCGATGCGAGCGACGCCGGGGGGTGCCAAAAGTTATACAGTGCTGCGTGTTTCTCGGACGTCGGGGGAATGCCTCGTCTGTGAAAGGCGCCCAACCTTGTAGCGCACTTGTTTGTGGACGCACAAGCTGTATACCGGCCATCCCGATTCTCGTGCAGTAGCCGAACTGGCCCGACTTCCCGACGGAGTGAACCTGCACTGGCGCTGCGCGACAGCCCACGGACCGTAGCCCCGGCGGCTCTGCCGGGCTATGGGGCGCGGAAAGCGTAAGGACAGTCCCTCACACCCGGACAACAAGGGCAGGAGGAGACTAGCCGCCCCCGGGCGTGTCGCCTCTAGCGGACGTGACTGAAGGCGCGACGTGTCAACAGAGCACCCCCGGTCTGCCCAATAAAGGAGGGGCGGTATGCCTAAACCCACAAAATGTGCATAAGACCCCCCGCCCGCGGAACACACCGCTGTGCAATAACTGTATTAAGTGGAGAAAGATAACACAACGGTGTGACCTGGGAAATCACCCCTCTGTGGACCATCTGAAGTCGCACGGTAAGGACGATCGAGCAAGTTCGTC